TGGTCGTCTGAATTGACACACTGCAGCACAACCTTCCCCAACCTTATGCTCTCTTATTTCGGATGTCCTCTATTTTTTCACCTGGTCTACAACTGTGGCTATGTTTGCTGGGGATCCCAAGAGTGGCAGCTCAGTATAGTTGGAGGGTTCCAGGTTGGAGATGGCAATATAAGAGAGTTTGGGTTTTGCTGAACAAGAAAGGTGGGCTCAAAACCACATTTGTTCTCAAAGAAGTTCATGTCTTTTCCAGTTAGAGTCAAGGGTAATCTTCCTGTTGGCTTCCTCTTTTGCTAAACTTCATTATGTTATTAAAAAGTCTATTAAAGTGCTATTTGACGAAGCATTTAAATGGGATGATGTCTCCACAGATGCCCTCACATGTTCCATGGCGAACTGTCAGTATGGCTGTGATGTAGTGAAAGGGGAGGTGCGCTGCCGATGTCCTTCTCCGGGCTTACAGCTCGCATCCGATGGCAGAACTTGTGTAGGTATGTCAAGAGCCATAAAGATGTTCCTTCATAGTCTCCCTTTGTGAGCGATGAGAAATTCGGGGAAGCCTTTCAAGGAGGAGGCAAACACCTGAAAGCGAGTGACTTTGCTATCTGTTTTATTTGAAAATGTGCTGGTTGAGAAGGGATTACAGGAGTGCAGGCATCACATCACAGGTAGCATCAGATTCAGCAGACCGTTCCATCCTCCACAACCATTTCCATATATGTGACCTTTTAAAACAACTGGTGGGCAACTTTTCCTGTTGAAACAGGGACAAGGACTAAAGCCAGTGGTGGGCAGAATCAGAAGTGGAAAGGGCACTCCTTTTCTCCTTTCTTCCTCCTTTTGCCTGCCCCTTAATCTCTTTCCCTTTTTATTACCATGCAGGGAACCACCAGATGTCTGAATGGATCACACGCAGAGGGCTTTTGGAATGAGGCTGAGGGCTGCATGCAGCTCCAGGCAGCAGGCTGCTGCTCTCCCATTTCAAATCCTCGATGCAGTATAACCTCAAGACAAAAACACGCGCACAAGGGAAGCAGCGTGTCTGGTGCGTTGCTTAAGAATGAAGGGCCTTTGTGCCTCTCACCGAGTCTTCCAGCTGAAACTATTCAGTCAGGAAATATTTTAGCAGAAATGATTTTTCATGACAAAGTATATTCCATGTGGGAGTTGTTTTGAGTAGTAGTGCTCAAGTAAGATGCATGACACTCTTTGCCTTGAGGAAGAGCATAAGCAAAATGTTTTGGAACTGCTTTTGACTAAGCTCCCATTTTTTAAGCTCATATTTAGGGCTTTGACTCTTGTCCCCAACATCTTAAAAAAGGGGGGAAATGTTTTAGTGATGCTCCTCCCATTGTCCTACTAGCGCTATTTGGCCAGAATTCAAATTAACAGTTGTGTTTCACATAAAAGTGACCTGCTAAGGGCCGGGAAGCCACACTGGCCTGGCTATACTCGCTTTTCCTAATGCCTATACAGGGTGGAGAGACGCCATTTGGAAAAAGTGATGTGGATGGAAGGATGCCGTAAAAATGAAAGCAGATGGTTTTTGTTCATTTTAGCCCGGCAATTTTTAACAGAAAACCAGAGCAAAAGGTAATTTCCAAATGTGTATATGGGTGTATAGGTTACTGCTCTGGTTTTCTCACCTGTTTTAAAGATATTTTTCCAATATCTTTGCATAAAACCTTTGGTTGCAAATAACAAGTGGATTTCTTTTTATAGATGTTGATGAATGTGCTACAGGAAGAGTGATCTGCCCCAGGTTCAGAAAATGTGTCAACACCTTTGGAAGCTATATTTGCAAGTGCTATAAAGGATTTGATCTGATGTATATTGGAGGCAAATATCAGTGCCATGGTAATGGATTTATTTATTTATTTATTTAGAGCTTTTCTAACCCGTCCACTAAAAATTACAATACTGTCATAGAAGAAAATTGTCTGCATGCAACATGTGTGTTAGACCAAAGTTCTGTTCACAGATTATGCCTGAATGTGGCACATCAGGATGAGGAAAAGGAAAGGGGCAGTACATGCCAACCTGGCCACTGCATCTCCAACCTACCTATGTTGACTGAGCAGGTCTGCAAGGCTTCTACTCAAACTCCCCTGGACAGGAATTGGAGCTTCAGTGCAGCTGGGAAACTTGCTTCTTGCTCACACAAGGAGTTCTACTTCCACTTGAATGACCAGGAATTGAAGCCCACTGCAGACCTTCTCAAAGAGTATGGCAAGGTTTAGCTAGGCTCCACATATGCAGCCCTATCCCTCTTATTTTTGTTCATGTATTCTATACATATCTGTCTGCTTCAGGATAGGAATAGCTGTCATGGGACCAGATGTGCCCTTCTTTTGTAATGCAGATTGCTGTCCATGCTGCACTGCAGCCATCTGATGTTCCATGTTTCCATCAGCAGTCCCACCATATCAGAACATTGTTTTGATACTCTTTCTTTTCATTGGTTGCAACAGGGCAGCCGACAGTGAAGTAATACAGGGCAGCATTGTTATACATTACAAGTGAGGTGAGACAGATCTTGATAGAAATAATGTGTTTGGGGAGGCAGCTTTGTCTCCCATAATGTGCCATCCTGTCCTTTAGAATACAGTATCTTTCCTCGTGTACTCTGTATCAGGGTCTGCTCCATGTTTGAGGGGAAGGGCTAGGTAAAATAGCTTCTGGTAGACCCCCTCCTCTGATAGTGACCCTTGAAAGGTTAATTGGACCGTGGTGGCAGTAATGTTGTAAGCCGCCCCGAGGTTTCGGCAAGCGGCGGCATAGAAATGTTATAATAATAATGATGATGATGATGATGATGATGATGATGATGATGATGATGGACAGCAGGCCTAGCTGCCAGCTAAATTTCCAGCAGTTCCACAGAAGGATGATAGTTGAGGAGCAACGTGGGCAATTCAAATGGAGCATTAATATAACTGTTTTTATGAGTGTCTGCCCAGAAATAAACAGGGAGTGGCTCAGGACACAGAATCAGTCCAGAGCTCTGGGAATCTGACACCTACCCAAGAAACAACAGTATGGAAAAGCTGCACATATAAGTCCTTCTCACTCACAGTGCTAGGAGAATCTTGAATCATGCCTAGTCTCTATTTTACCATACTTGCATAGCCGTCATTTGTAGTTACCCAACAGTAATTATTCATCATATACTTTAATACAATTTTTTAAATCTCATGCATTTTTATTGTAGCTGGCATCAGAGCTAGACATCTGATTTTGATGGTAATGAGTTTCCTTCTTCCTTGTGAACCTGTGTAAAATAAAACAGGTTCCAGTTTGGTTTGTGTGTTGTAGAATTCTAATTAAAGATTTACTGAGCAGCTAAGAAACTATATAAGGAAGGCATTTCTTTAGTGGTTTCTGCAAAAGCTCTTAATAGCAATTCATTTCTAAGGACCTACTAGTCTTATTTATAACGTATGACCTCTCAACAAGATTATATTTCTGTTAATGCCTGTATTTAAATGTATTTTAAATGCATATTTAAATGTATTTTAAGAATAGTACAGAACCAAGAACTTTCTTCTGATAATTACTATTTCTCAGATTACCACTGAATGAGTGCCCTTGACTGGAACATTTCAACAAGAGAACATTGTTGTTGTTGTTGTTGTTGTTGCTATTACATTGCATTTACATCTTGCCTTTTTAACTCTTGTGAGCAACCCAAGGCCTCTCTGGGTTCCTCACAAGCTATTTGACAGTGAGCCATTAACAACATGGGAACAAACATACAAATAAAAATATCAGCTCAACTCCAGTTGCACCTTAAAAAGGTAGTTCTCTAGGGCTACTTATAGCAAAATAGGGATATGCATCTGAAGAGAAACCTAGCTGAAAATTAAAACGTTGACAAAATTCACAGACAACAGGAATTTTCTTAGGCCAGTATCCTTACTCCTGCCCTGAAAGTCTTGCTTTATTCCTAACTAAGAAAAGAACTATTTCAAGCTGGGTTTTGCTTTGCACTGACACAGTGTGTATTATTTGAATCAGGCAAATGAAGCTGGTAGTCATTGCTGCTGGAAAATTCCTAGGATTATTACATTAGTTTAACCAATAATGTGGTTCCAGGAAGAAGCTGCCCATCCTTCCTCATAGCTCCATGGAAATCAGGTCTTAATGCTTCCATTGCTGGGGTGGCTGGCAGGCTGACCTTCCAGTTACCAAGTCTTGGTGTCACTCCTGCAATTTCTGCTGGAAGCCCACATTGGTGAGGGTTAATGGAATTGGAGCATAGGTGTCACTGGAAATGGCACTTGTACTGCGATGACAGGTGATTGTCTCCTGGCAGGCGAAATCTCATTTTCCTACACATTCCAGCACGTAGTCGTGGGCCTGTGCTTCAGAGCTTGGGAGAGACAATGAATTCTCAGGACCCAGTGAATAGGAGCCCCGCTTCAGCTATTTGCTCTTGCCTGCCCAATCCTGCATTGTAATTTCCTAATGACCTTGAAGAAATGTGTGCACCAAAACTTTCACCAAAAAGTTTAGAAATCCAAAAATAATGTATAACTCTAATAAATATTCCTGATATCGTTTCCCCAATTATTTATGGAGGAACCTTGACCTTATGCTCTGAGTGCAGAGAACTGTGCACATTCTGATACTCGAGTGCCTACATGGGACATTAAACTTTTCCAATTTATTGTGCTTCCATAAAATGAACTACTAGAGTCCAATGTAAATGTGTCTGTTTTATTTCCCACTCCAAGCCAACTTATAATTCAAACGCCTTTTAAAAACATCTGAGCCATTCTCTTTCGTAGTCTATAGAAGGATGTGCTATGCCTCTTTAAAAGCCATTCACCTATCTATCTATATGTCTATATATAAAACAGCTGTTCAACGATGATTGGAATATTTTGTGTTGGATCCAGATGATAAAACATCACTAAAGTTAACAATTTGTCTAGTGCTTTGTTTGATTTTAACCATTGCTTTTTCAGAATGTGAAAATAGCAATAGAATTGATTTCAGTATTTTAACAAGAGGGAGGCTGGTAACAGGAGATTTCATATTTAATTAGAAAATGGAGCATATGGTTGCTGTCATGTGTAAAATATTTTCATACAAGTTTTTTCTGTTTCAGACATAGATGAATGTTCCCTTGGTCAACATCAGTGTGGAGATTTCTCGCAATGTTACAATACTCAGGGTTCATACAAATGTAAATGTAAAGAAGGGTTCAGAGGTGACGGAATGAACTGCATAAGTACGTATAGATCCCTTCTGTCTTACATTCCAAATCCAGATGGAAAACACAATCAAGCATCTTGCGTCTTAAACTATGGAACACAGTTGTGTCCCTCTCCATTTCACTAAGCAATTTTGGAGGAACAGATAGTATATTTAAGACTTTATGAGCCTTAATATGCCAGTGGAAAAAACAAATTTCCTAAGGGCACAATCTGATACAGTTTAGATTATGCTGGCGTGCTTTGTGGCTGGGTCATTCAGGGAGCTCCAGGCCCCCTTTCTGTCTCAGCTTGCATGTGATTGCACACTAAAGTTCTTTTCAGTTTTAGATCAAAGTCTAGTGAACCCACTTTGCAGTGTCATTCTGTTGGCCCTCACTGGTAATGAAGACAGGAGCGTTGAGACTTGTTCTGTGCATCTCATGTTAAGAAGAGATCGGGCGGCAGGGCTGGGGAAATTCTCTGACGGAGATGCTGCTTTCTGCTGAAGCAGACAGTGCTGAGGTGGATGAAATGGTGGCCTGGCCCTGTCTAAGGCAGGTTCATAAGTTTCCTGTATTTTATCTGTACTAGGCTCTATGTGTAGCACTATGGGAAATACAAAACCTTTGAAGATTTCTTCAGACACCTGTTCCCTGCTTTGTAGCTGTATCGTCCCACACCCTCCTTGCTGTTTTCAGAACTCTGTTTTCAGAATGAATATAAAGTATGATCCCTTGTGAAGAAGTGAAATTGGTAGTGCAGTTACTTCTGAATTGTGTAGAAACCTGATCAGGTGATATGCTGGAAGAACTTGACAGATTTGGATAGACGGCCTTAACAGGATAAGTTAGAACTCACTCCATGAGGTTCTTTTGCTTCAGGAGAACTTGACCAACGGCCTTGCAGATAATATTAAATCTTTCACCAGCTTTCAGTACTACTGAAAATGAGAGGGTTTGGTATGAAGCACGCGACAGTGGTGAACGCAATCCTTTTAATATATTTCTGTCTGAGGCAGCATGTAAGACAGAGGGAGGTGTGGGGTAAGGAACCATCTCTGTGTGTCTTGCTACTGCTCCTAATGTATCAAGGCTTTGCTGCGAAAAATGATTTCCCCGTTTTTCCCCCGTAGCCATTCCCAAGGTTGTGATTGATCCGTACAGTGTATATAAAGGCAATACAACCTTCATGAAAGGAAGCGGTGGCATGACCAATCGGATACCTGAAGCAGGTGGTTCAAGGCATCCCATCAAGCCACCGCATGGGCCAGCAGTGGCTACAGCAAAGCCTGCTCCTAAGCTAACAGTCCGACCCACACCAGGGGAAACAACGCACAAGCCCTTCATCAGGTTTGTAACGAAGCCTGCCACAACAAAACCAGCTCTGAGGCCTTTGACAAGGCCTCCACCAGTGACAAGACCTCCACCAGTGACGGCCCATCCAACACCACCCCCAACCCCAATTAAGCCTTCCACAAGAGTTACAACAAAGGAGCCAGCACATGGTCCAAGGGAAACTACCCCTCATGAGACATTTACAGTTGACAACAGGATACCAGTCGAGCCTCAGAAGCCACGAGGGGATGTGTTCAGTAAGTAACCCTGAATCTCGTGATAGCAATGCAGTATGGCATTCTGGCAATGAGAAAGCTCATGTGATATATGCAGGTGAAGGCAGCAGTAACTGTCTGTATCACCGCCCTCCAGTTCTGGTGGCTCTGAGCTGCCAGTGAAGTTCATAAATGCACATGGATCATATATTGCTTCTTGGTAACCGTGAAAGATGCTCATCATCTGGTATGTAATTTTAAAAGGCCTAAACAGGATCTCATTTACTTGTTATTGTGAAAAATATTTAACAATTGATTTGGAAGACAAAATGGAGCAAGCGGCTGTGATACTGATATATTTTTTTTTAATTTTATGACCAAATTAAGGAGGAGATACTAAATATTTACATTTTTGGACGCAATTCTACTTCAGAAAACAAGCTTGCAAAAAATACAGTGGTCTTCTGCGTGAAATCATGTAGCCAATCCCTGGGTATTTAGTGCTAGGCAACTGCAAGAATAAAATTAAAAATAACTCTCAATTCCTGCTTCGTGGAATGTTCCTGCAAAAGAGTAATATTTAAAACTCCTGGTTTAAAGATGCTGCTTACATGAGGAAGCTTCCCTGGCAGAGCTGTACTGGAAGATATTACATTACTCTTATGCCAATTTAACTTCATGCCACAGATGACATTTGCTGGCTTGCGCTTTTGGTGTGCATGCCAAGAAATACCCAGCACTGTGTTTCATCTTTAGCACTATGGCCAAAGTTAATTATAGTGCTTGGGAGGGTATTTGGACAAGTCTTTACTCTTCAGCTTCATAAACAATACTGCTGCTGAGCTAAATGGGATGTGAGTTTTGTTATCTTACAGCAGATGGACAAGTGCATTCCTCGACAGCTTCTTGGGGAGTGACTTTGGCTTAACTTCAGCAACCCCCAGCAATAGTACTTACAGATGTCTTAAAGTTCCCCTCTCCCTAAATGCCCGTTCATCTGTAATATATGTTGCAAGTATGGAATCACGATAGGGTAAGGAGACAAAATAGTAAGGGGAGGATGAAGGCAGAATCTGTGGACATTTAATGCTTATGGACATAAATACAAGTTACTCTGGAGTGCCCATACACACATAGGTCTCAATGAAGTACGAGCAAATCATTGGCTTTACTTAAAAGAAGTGTTTCTCTTTTCTTCCCCATTTCAAAGAACATTGTGAAGTAAGCATTTATTTTACAAACATTCCGTGCAATGAATCAAAGTTAGAGAAAAAACTGAAAGTAAAATTATACAGGTCAATGGGTCTTCAGGACTCCAGTTTGGCTCTCCAGCAGTTCCTGGCACCTGATATTGACCTCCTGTTCTCACCCTCTTCATTAGGAGCTTCTGTCCCTTTGGGTGCAGAGGACCCAGCCTGGCTGCCCTCTGAAGATTAGATGACAGTTGGGTTTTCTCCACATGCCCCTCCTGCTTGCCATGGGTCCTGCTCATAGGCCTCTGGTGCAAATATCAACACAGATATTTGAACCAAGAAGTCACTTTATCTGATCAATGATATTTGCAGATGTAATTTTTGTAACCAGATGCCATTTACATCATTTGTTTAGTACCGCAAAACGAAGGCAGAAGAATTCCCTGGATAAGGTTTGTTACCACCTATAGCCACATAAATGATTTGGCTGCTCAACTTCTTTTTTTATGCAACTTTTCAGCACAGGCCTCTGCATGTCTACACAGACGTAAGCCCCACTGAGGTCACAGAGACTTGCTCTGTGGTAAATGGGTATAGTGTTACAGCCTTAAATCAAGCAGACACACTTTCTGGTAGCTTTGCTGAGAAATACTAGTTACTCAGCACGCACGCCTTGGTATTCAGCACTAGAGATATGTGCAATTTAAAACCATCATAATCACATGTTATCCTTTAGTTGATATACATGGACTCAAAGGCCCACACATGGGATTCCAGTCATGCTTTGGATGCTGACAATTTATTAAGCTTTCCTCTGGTGGTCAACCAGAGGTTTTATTCTTTCAAAAGAGCCTAGAACTTGTTACCAACCCAGCTCCAAGGGCAATCTTTGAAAATTGGACTAGAATTTTAAATGTGATTGTTGAATGTATGAGAATTTTATTTCAGTGCTATTTTGAGGTTTTTTTAAAAAAAACACACATCTGACATTTGAAACATTTCCCACGTTTGAGACAGACAGAACTCGAGATTTTTTAATAAGTGGAATTTGGGGGAAATCAAGACTAACAGATTTTCCCATCCAGCCTCAGGACTCTGAGTGCTTTGCTCTTAAAAGGATGACAGTTAATTCCTGTGTATCACTGCCAATGTAGAATTGGGGCACCTACTTCTTATGTTCTGACAGATTCTTGATCTTTAACAGTTACATGGCAGGAAGGCACATTAGAATTTCTTCCCCATGCTAGAAATTACCTCACCTATTGAATGTAGCTGGTGCAGATAAGTGAGCGCTTCAGTTCAGTTTGGTAAGGATTAACCAAAGTTCTTTCTATTTGGAGAAGAATGGGCTTGGCAATAAAAAATAAATACAATATGGCAGAAAGTAAAATCTACAAATTCACCCCCATGAGTATATTACCTTTCCAGATTTGTCTGTTGGTCTGTCTGGGGTTCTTCCTTTCTAGTTCAGAACTGGTCCCATCCCCTGGCAGATTTTTGTTGGGTAAGAGGTATGTCCAGTCTTTATTTGGATATGCTACTAAATTGCTTAGCTCCAAATCTTCCAGAGCAAATGCTCCAAGAGTTTGAATCAAACTCAAAGATTAAACTATTAGTAAGGCATGTCATACTATGCCAGATTATTAACTTATTTACCAGGGATGGAGAAATATGTCAGTTTCAGTGTCTTGTTTTCCCAGACTTAAACAGGTTCATCCCAAATTCTGAGTTTTTTTAAGTTTGCAGGACAACTCATAATCATGTCTGTTTGCAATTCTCATAAGATATGCATTTATGCATAATATACTCATTTTAAAGCAATTGCTTAATATAAGCCTTTAAAAAGATTGTTTCTGCTAATATACACTTTGGTGTGTAGTTTGTTTGAAAGGTGAACTCCACTGTTGGAGAACTCCAAATTTGGAGACAGACGAATTTCGACAGCTACTAAACAACCTTCCCCCATTCCTGTTATTTTCACAATGCCTTCCAAAAGCAATAAAAATACAGCACATCAGGTCTGATATAGGAGTGCCTGAGGGATTTGATTTATGTATTTAAAATACATATTTACATGCAAATTTTAATGCAGACATTTAAAGCAACCCCTATTGACATAGAAATGGAATGAACTGGGCTTAAACGTGAACATATGGAAAAGTGACACAGACTGGAAACAAACCAATTCATTCATCTCTGTTCTCAGATGGTAAATAGCTAATACAAAATGAAAACCAGTCTACACCTGCTGAATCTGTTTTGACCATGAATCTCGCTCAGTAGCTTGTCTTTGACAGTTCAGGTCCAATTATAGAACACCCTTGGGAATCCTCGCTGGCAAGAAAGCAGTCAACCTGTTCTGAGAAGTTCTAGTGTAAAACTGCCACTCAGAAGAGAGCCTCATTCTCCCACTGCCCAATTCTAATTTTGGTAGGCTGAACATATCTTAAGGGCATATTTATGGATAGAATTTTGGGGCCACATCAAACTGTGAAATCAATGGTAGGTGCATAACTACCATAAATGCATTTTCCTGAGAAGAGCACCCACTTTTTTGCTGAAATTCACGTTCAGTCTTTTTAGACTTTACATGGGTTAAATGAGTGCTCATCTTGGGGGGAAGCAGAATCAGTGACAACTTCTGCTTACTTATAGGTATTTATTAGAGCATTCATGGAGAGCCCCACTCATAAAATCTGTCCATACACTTCCAACCCACATGTAGGTTAAGGACAGAATCTGTTGCTGTGATGCTTCTGCCCTTAAGTGTATGTTCACTGAATTACAGGTAGGCAGTGTTTGTGGCTAATTTTCCCTAGAACCCACTAGGGGCCATAGACCTGTACCCCACTGCAACCCCAAAAAACCTAATTTTGGAGGGTTTTCTGCCTTTTTTTGCTGCCACCAGCTGTGGGGCAGCAATGGGGAAGGTGCACAAAAGGTGAGGGGGATACATGCTGCCCATCCTGATAGTTTCATATCTCAAGGGAACACATGAGTGTGTTCCAAGCCGAGGCTCATCTTCTGAGGAAGAGGCCAACACCAAGACTGTTAGATGCCAGCACAGGGCAAAAATAAAGCCAAGCTAAATGAAAGGCTCTCATGACCTTTTGAGATTCTTGCCATGCTGATAAGTGCTTAGTTGTGATAATATTGTGCTGCAGTGAAAGATGCTTTATAACAGGGGTACAGATTTCCATTTTGGAGAGACTTTCATGATCTGCAGAACTGGGCAGGGTTGCAAGGAAAAGAGAAGAAGGTGCCAAAGGCAAAGCAGTCAGGGGCAAAATACCAGCATATTTTAGCTTAATCTTTTCCTGCCCGGCACTGTGCCTTAGGAGAGGCATTTCATCCTTTTAGAACAGTGGAAAAACACTCCAAAAAGGCAGTAAGCCTCGAGATGATCAGTGATGGTGGATCCACAGGTGGCCAGCATGGTGCTCCACGTAGAGAGTGGCCCATCCGTCACTCTTGACTGCTCAGACAGATTTATCTGACCCTTGCAGAGCAACAAGGGGGAGAGCGGGCAGTCCCTCATTCAGGGTTTCCCAGTGAGGTCTCTGAGGTGACACGTGGCATTTGCCTGCTTTGGAAAGGGCAGGGGGATTTTCAGCATAGGGCAGGGAGCATGTGTAACCCAGGAATGTCCTTGACCCAGGAAGGAGGAAACAGGAAAAGTGTGTGGCCCAACGGGAAGGGCTCTGGTGTTTGCACTGTCCAGCCCTCAGACTAGCAAGAGCCATCCTGAGGGTAGATCCAGAAGTTTCACTGAAAGGAAGGCACACAGAGGAAGTTTCCAGTTTAGATTCATTTCTTGACATGGGCAGATGCCTCTCCTTCAACTCGACT